CAGTGACCTTTGAAGTCTCCAAAAAGCCACTGAGCCCCCACAATGATGAATACACATGGAATGTGATGATGTCATTAAGCTGACAAACACCACTCAAAGATCAACTTCAGTGATCAGGACAACTTCAAAGCAGTTAGGCAAGATGGTCCGGCCTTGTAGTCTACTCCAGTCAGGGTTTCACATAAGCCTTGCACTCTCTCATCACACTGAGACAAGACAACAGCTAGCTTGTCCAGAGCTTGATCTTTAACTCAATCCTTTCAGGTCTCTTAAAGATACTGTCATCCCCAGAATACAAAAAGTAATTTTAAGAACATGACATCCACATTAACAAGAAGTTGGGTAGGTTGTTTTTGGTTGTTGAATGGATATTTGTCATCATTTAGGGAAGTTGGTCACAAGTTGTTGCTGGTCATGGTCAGGGAGGAAACTAAACAAAGGAAATTAGATATAGAGATCTCATCTTGAAAAAAAAGGGGGGACATAGAACTGATAGGATAAAAGGGTAGATTATTGTTTAAGATATTTTTGTATATTGATACAAATTTAAGGTAAGTTTTGTTATACTGTATTATATGTTTTCATATCTTGTTTAACGTATTGTACCTATGCAGCTCATTTAAAAATGTAATGAAAAGTTCTCATCCTTGAAAGGTACTTAGGAATAAAGAAATACAGGTTAGTACTTAGTCATCTACAATAATCAGACTCACACTTATGCTGAGTATGTTCACAAGATCAATCAGAGTCATATTTAAAATAGATAGATGGTCTTCAAACACTTCAGGGACCTACAGAATATGGAATTTTAATGTTCTAATAACGTAAGTTTTTTCATGACAGTGAGACACATCTGCTTCTGAAATGACCATTTTACTCCATAGAAGACTGTGGACATTGAAGAACCTCCATATGGAGTTTGCTTTCATTTGTAGCAAAGTTAGCTAGTGGTCTAAGAAACTGCCTTTGCCTCCACTGCTGATGGTATGCTGTCTAAATTGGATAAGCAGGACACAAAAGAAGGTGACTCCTGAACTTTGCCAAGACAAGGCAGGACAGTCCTTCAAAATCCCTACATCACAGGAAAGTCTTTCAGATATTGTAGGCCCATAGGATAAAGATGGATGCCCCAGTGTTGCAGAGGACCCCTGGGGTGACTCTCCAGGAAGCCAGGATTAAAGATTCTATAGGTATAGTTCCAGTTTTCCTTAGTGATAATAGAAAGTAATTAGGTACAAAACTTTGAACTCACCAAAATATGATAGATATTTTCTCTAAATTTTCCAAATACTCATAGATTGGACATTGTAAATGTATTTTTTACTTGATAATTGTTTTATTGTATGTAGTTTTTACTATGTTAGAGTTAAAACCTTTTCTTTTTATTTAGACAAAAGGGTGGGATGTTGCTGGAGAATTGTTCATACAGTCGTTCTACTGTGCCAATAAAGCTACCTTGAATCATAGAACAGAGTCAGTAATTTGACTGACTGGGATCATCCATAAAGTTCTTGGAGGACTGAGGTCTGCCAGAGAGGACAGGAAGAGAAAAGAGTGGATTTGGGGGGCTAGTGATTCAGGAAAAAAACATGGAGAGAGAGATCACATCTTAGGTTGTGAATGTCTTCTTACTTATTTTATTTCAAGAATTCAAGTCCCCTTACCTGAAGCCCCTGATTGTTTGCAATCCAGAGAGTTCTGGAAGTGGGCACATGTACTTACTGGTTGTTCATGACCATTAAAGACATTTTAGAAATAGGTGGTGTTTTAAGTTTCCTAAAAGTAAAAAGTAAAATTCTAACATTCATATCCTTAATTCAGACACTGAGGTCTAGTCTTAATCTATCTGCAATGGCTGCTTACTTTGTCATTAATAGACCACTCCTCTGTGAAGTGAGCTGTCAACTCAGATGGGTGAGGAATGGCTATGATAAATGTATAGCAGAGCAGCAACCACTTTACTCTGGATTATTCTACCAATGTTTAAACTTTGTTTTGTTGTATTCCCACCTCAACTTTCAATTAATCCCTGTTTTCAGAAAACATTCTAATTACCACAAGTTATTTTAAATGTGCTTCTTTTTCTTTTTTCTTTTGCAGTGAAGAACTGGTAAGGAAGAAACTGTTGAGCCAATCAATAAAGAAATGGATTGTGTCTTGATTTTGAACAAAGAAACAATATAATCAATTCTATACTTCTGAATTTATTTTTGCCTGTGGCAGTATGATAACAGCTTTCCAAATTGTGCCCCAACCCCTAACCTCATCTGGTGAACTTTGGATCTTGGACAATCTTGTGCTTGCTTCTGATCAATAATAGAATGTGCAAAAGAATTTTGCTACATGAGTCTTGTGTCTATCTATGTACTCACATGAACACATGTGTACATGGAAGCCAGAAGTCATGTTCCTCAGGTACCTTAGGTTTTTGTTGTTGTTATTTTTGTTTGTTTTGTTTGTTTGTTTTTGAAGCAGAGTCACTTGCTTGTCTGGACTGCAGCTCACTGATTAGGTTAAAGCAAGGGGAAAAAAAAAAAAAAAAGAGTTATGACCTGGGGATCAAACTCAGGTCCCCTTGCTAGCACAGCACTTTTTCCAACTGAGCCATCTTCCCAGAATCACATGATACTTGCTTACCTGTTATCTTTCAGCTTGTCTTGAACTCTTATATTATTGGTTCTAATGGAATGCAGATCAATTGTCAAAGGTAAATGTAGAACATAATCTGCTCGCACAAGTGAAAACCACCAATAAAATCCACTGATCTGGACTGAAAAACTGTCCTCTTTTGGGAGGAAGGTTCTCAACACTATCTCTGTTTGTGGAATAGGTAATGTCTTTTGAGTGTTCCTTTGAAAGGCAGAAATGGTCATTGTTTATTGCAGGAAACTTGACAGAGCTCTTGCATAGCAGAACTTGATCGAGTTTAAATGGATGTGTTCACACGTATAAGTATTTCTGACATAAATCAGAGACCAGCAGACATAAATCAGAGACCAGCAGATGCTTGAAGGCAAAGATTACATAGTCTCAACTTCTCCCCATTATTGAAAATGGATATGGGAAAGTTGACTTTATATGCCCAAGTTAATATTATAGGAAGCCTCTGAATTTTGTCAACTTTTTTTTTTTTTTTTTTTTTTGTCTAGACAGGGTTTCTCTGTGTAACCGCCCTGGCTGTCCTGGAACTCACTTTATAGATCAGGCTGACCTCGAATTTGCAGAGATCCACCTGCCTCTGCCTCCCCAGTACCGGGATTAAAGGCATGTTACCACCATACTGAGATAAGATTTTGTCAAATCTTAAAACACACATCAAAAGACACTGCAGAACATCACTGCTTTTAGAAGAAGTATTCACAAATACTCTTAGGAAGCCCAAAGTACATAAAACACATAAAAACAGGGGTTCTTTAAGCAAAGCTTGCATTCAACTCAATTCTGAGGTATCTACTGCTAGGGTACCTGAAGTCACAGGTGCCAGATGGTTATTATGCTACATTATCTAAAAAGGTCTCATGACTGGCGTCACAATTCTTATATTGAAAAGTCACAATAGTGGGTGGAAAGCGACAACTGATCAAAAATTAGGTTTTCCAACAATGTTAGTAGATTTTCGGTAATGCGGACACTGTTCTGCTTGTAGAGACACCCCTACCATATCCCTCTATCCTGATATGTCCACAGTACTTGTGACTAACAGAAATCACACAGTATGTGAGTCTTATTCACTGATTGGCTCCTGTGCCTCTGACATTTTCTTGTATGGTTAAACAAAGCAAAATACAGTCTCAACAGCTATTTTTTATGCTTTAGGCTGGTCACAGCTCATCTAAAGAACATGCCACCATAAGTTCCATCGGACAATCTTGGGAGTGCTATTGCCTTAACCACACATTAGTTTTAAGTACTCTCTTTTTCTTGAACCAATTTAAAACACTGTCCTCCAAAGAATTTTCAAGATCTGTTAACCACTAAAGAGAAATACTCTCCACCCTTGTTTATAATGGAAAAATTTGGAGAATGTCTCTCTTAGTTTAGTGGTATCAGTTTTAAGACAACTGAGATTGTGTTAAGATGTCATATTCTCCCCCATGGGAAACAATGTGAAGAGCACCATGGAATGCATACAGGAGTCCTACCATTGCATCAAGCCTCTGGTTCAAGAGCCAGCTTAAATTCTAGGTCTAAAGTTTAAGCTGATGAATTTTGCTTGCATGTATGTAGGTGTGGCTTAGGAATACTTCCCTTTGCAGTGGTGTGAGGCCAAGCTGTTTTTCAATCCTAAAGCCACGAGGCCCAGAATGAGACTTTGTTTTCGGATGACACTATTGCACGGGCCTTTTTGGCAAAACCCAGGAAATTTTATTTTGGAATGCAACCACCTCCACCCAAGGTCCAGGATAAGCAGAGCCAGTGTAGCAACACCCAGCTCTCATGACCCCTCCCTGTCCCTTCCCTTTTCCTTCCCTCCCCTTCCCTCCCCCAGGGAGGCACCATTTGGGTGGGGATGACTCAGAAGGTGGCTAACCAAGTGTCCAGAGGAACGGATTGTTTCTAGAAGCATTTGGAGGCGCCTGGGGGGTGTAGGCTGGGTGCCAGCGACGGACTCCCTGAGCCTCCTGCACTCACAGATCTAAGGAACCTGAAGGGTCCTCACCTTCCATTCCCTGAACACCTGTAAGGAGAACCCGCCTTCCGAGAAAGCAAGGAATTCCTGCCCAGGCTTCCTTCTTTCCCAATGAGCCGCGTGATGAAACCCCGCCCTTTGGCTATGCTTTTAGGCAGCTTGTGGAGGACGGCACGTGCCAAAGAGGAGGGAGTCTTAAGCAGACCTGCACTTCAGCCCCAAGACTGCCACGCAGATGCTAGCCCCTGCGGTGGCCGTGGTCGACCGCGGCGGCGAGGATAGTGTTGGGCTGCGGGCACCGGGACCCCGAGCGCGCGCTCGCGCTCGTGCGCGTGAAAAAAAAACGAGCGCCTGGCGTACGTGTGGCTGCGGGGAGCTGGTGTTCGCGCGCAGGAAACGAACTCCCGCAGCAAGCTCCAGCAGCATCGCTGCGGGTGTCAGTGGCGCGCCCGAGGTGAGTGCGGGGCGGGCGTGGCGGGGAGATGGTTGGGCGGCGGCCGAGCAACCCTCTCCGGGTGCAGCCTTCTAGGGACGCGGCGCCGGGCTCTCAGGCCCAAGGTTCCGGCCGCTGGTCGCTCCTCGTTGGAGCACCTCACCAGGGCGAGCTGCCACGCCCTGGGCTCCGGCCTCTCGGGTGCTCTCGGCGGTCTCTTGAAGCTCAGGACACAGGACCCGGGAATCCTGGACATTTGGAGGGGCTCTAGTGCGCGTGGCGAGCCAGGCCGCCGCCGCCTGAGGATCCCTTCTCTCCTACCCTGTAAGCACGGGGGGTTGCCTGATTGTCACTGTGGCTAAGGAGAAGCTGGGAACAGTGACAGTGCCCTCTCGGACCTGGAGGAACGCAGCAGGCCCGGAGTAAGGCACCTTCATGGAGGGAAAGGGCCGGGGTCCCCTGGGTAGGAGAATGCTTCGTGGGCAGGGATGGTAGGGAAGATGGACCCGAGGAAAGATATGGGAGGTTTGGAAAGAGGAAGGAGAAAACTCCCAAGGATTAAGGCTTCTTCCGTAATTAATGAGAGGTCTGGGTGAATATGGAAAGCATTTTAAAGGAAATTTTAGATGGAAGGAGCCTCACTTTTCCAGGATGGTGCCAGCAGCCAACACAGATAGCTATATTCGGTGTTTGTGACTGCAGAACTAAAAGGCAGGGTTTGATTTCTGAGATGAGTAGATTGTATTTTTAACATTGCCAGCCTTCAGGAGGGAAGCAGCTGCTTTGTTAGGAAATGCTACTGCCAAGGAAGAAATTGCCCAACCATGTGTTTTTGGAGGTAGGATGAATGGAGTTTGCAGTCTTCACCGAGAATATGTTTGTGTTTTAGCTCTGGGTGTTGGAGGCAGAAGCAGGAGGGTATTTGTGCTCTCTGAAGTGTTGACACTTCATAGGAAACTTCCATTACTGGAGAGAATGAGCATACCTGGCATTGAGAGGAGAGTGTGGTGTTTTCTCTTTCACATTGAAAGGTTTGTTTAGAATGAATGGCCAGTGGGGAACTGCAGCATTAAAAATAGTCTGTTTTCAAAACTGTTGAAATCAATACTCGATTAGCTCATGGGACAAGTAGAGAACAGAGAAAGGAAGAAAGCATCAAGGCCTAACCTGCTATAACGTTGCTGTTTTGATATATATATATATATATATATATATATATATATATATATATATATATATATAAAAAAAGATTTTCATAAAAATCTTTTATGTGGGTTCTGCCTACATGTATGTATGTGTGACCAGAGGCATGCCTGCTACCTCCTTACGTCAGAAGTGGGCATTTCATCCCCTAGAACTGGAGTTACAGATGGGTGTGGATCCACTACACAACTACTGGGAACTGACCTCCAGTCTCCTGTCAGAGCAACAAGTGCTCTTAACCAAGTCATCTATCTCTCCAGCCCCCAGATACAGTATTTTCTTACATTCAGTTGTTTGCAGAAGTTCTATTTTAACTAAAGCACAGAATACAGAAATATCTCTCCCCCTTGCCCTGCACACATTTGTCTAGTGTTTAATCTGAAATTCTGTAAGTGGGTTTAACACACTTTGAATTTATCCAGCTTAGTTGGACATGCCCATTACGGTACCCTGTTTGGCTTTTGGGTATCATTGACATAGGCTGCAAACTTTAGTGTATTCTGGGGTCTTTCTTTTCCCAGAAGGTTTGAAGAGGTGCAAGATTTAAGCTTTGACTAAATCATTTTGGGTAATAACACATTTTCTCCAAAAGTTGGATTTTAAGTACTGTTGTACTTCAGAAAAACTTGATAACTTGGCAGATCATGTTCAACCTCAAGTTTAGAGTAAATTCTTTATCCCTAAGCAAATACTTTAGTAGATGTTTTACTTTTTCTCTGTGGGGTTGGTGATTTACCTCTCCAGCCTCCAGCTCTACCCCTTCTTGGTGAAGGTGGAATCTCATTTCAGAACATGCCTTTATCCTGTTTATACCTGTGTTACATCCAAGGAAAGTATACTTCTCTGATGCAGCTTGCTGTGTGATAGAAACCACTGAATGATAAAGAGCTACATGGTACCATCTCGTGGGTAATGTCAACTGGAGGGTCTAACAAGATACTCTTAAATGAGCTCACCCAACAGATGCTTTTAGAATTACAATTCAGCAGGCTGTTTGGCAAAATGACCTTTGGGAATTGTGGAAAACTTTTCATAAAAGTTCTATAAGCATTGATTTGCTTTTATTAGCAAGATTCTTGCCTTATTGTGAATTAGAATGAAGTGGGGGTAAAGTATGAATTAGGGTTGGGCCTAAGAGCTGTAGAAGATTTATGCTTCTTGAATCTTTGTGATACCAGACAGCCAAAACAGATGATAAATGTCCTCTGTCATGTGACTCTGACCCTGAATATAGTTAACTACGAAGTCAGGCCGTTTGCCTTCCTGTTGTATATACGGCCGAGTTAACAGTTCCCAGCTCCATCTACTCTCCTAGAGCTGTTTCATGTAGGGAACATGTTATTGGTTAGTCTAGGAACTCTTTTTAAGTTGTATGACTCCTTTGGGTAGTGAGGGAAAAAAAGAGGTTAATCTCTGGAGACATTAATAATGCTTTGAGGTATGACTTTCATGGATCTAGCTAGAGCAAATATTTCCAAACTCATATCTGTTTGATAGATATAGTCAGTCCTTCAGGTGATTTGATTCTGTATTTATAGATTCTGCCAACCATGGAATAGAAGTACTTAGAAAAAAATTGTGTGTCCTAAAGATGTACAGATTGTAAGTGTTGCAGTTCTGAGGGCAAAGGGTTCCCCAGTGCATGTGTAGTAGCTCTGAGAGGAAAAGGTAGTCTGGCAGCCAGGAACCAAGCAATACCATCAAGTCATACTGCACAATAAATCCCACATCAGAGGTTTATTGGGAAAGACACATGAGGGTGGCTGCCTGCTCAGGGGAAAGGGAACAAAGAACTAAGTAGGAGGCAAGCTTTATGTAGCGAAGTGATTTGCAACCTGTGGGTCACTCCTTGGAAATGACCCCTTTTCAGGGGTCACTTAAGACCATTGAGAAACACAGATATTTACATTACAATCCATAACAGTAGCAAAATCACAGTTATGAAGTAACAATGAAAGGGATTTTATTTTCATTGGGGGCCGCCACAACGTGTTAAAGGGGGAACTATACCAAAGGGTCACAACATTCAGAAGGTGGAGAAACACTGGTAAAAGGTTTTTCAGTGGTGGGGATTTCCAGGGTGGGGATTTCCAGGGTGGGATTGGTGGGATTTCAAGTCCTAAATTTGGGGTGAGCACAGGGATTGGTGGGATTTGAAGCCAGGGCTTTTACTCTGTAGGCCAGAGCTTGGCCATCTGAGTCTGAAGGGGCTGGGTCCAGCCTTTGCAGCCTTAAGAGTGTTCTGTGGGTTGAGCCTGACAGAGTTCTTCAAGGCCGGGCGCTGGCCATGCAGGTGCTCACTCGAGGGGCTTCTACAGACATTCTTTTCTTGTCATCATTCTCTAAACAATATGTAGAACAGATGTGCATATCATATTTGTATTGTAGACTCAGTGGTTAAGTGCATTGGCTGCTCTTCCAGAAGATCTGGGGTCAATTCCCAGCACCCATGTGGCAGCTCAAAGCTGTCATTAACTCCAGTTCCAGGGAGGCCTAATGCTTCTTCTGACCTCCACAAGCATTGCTCACATATGGTATACTTACATACATGTAGGCAAGACACTCCTACACAAAATAATAATAAAAATCTCAAAAGTATAGAGATCTGCATAAGTTATAGGCAAATTTTGCACTATGCTTTTATAAGAAACCCTAGCATCCTTGAGTTTTGATGTCCATGGGGAACCTTGCTGCACCCCTTTGCCTACAGTTGCCTATGGTTCCATTGTTTTAATCCGAAAGGAATCAGGTAGCCAAGATAGAGACATATGGCCTGCAAAGAAAGTATTTACTATCTTACCTTCAACAAGCCAACTTTTTGTTCACTCTGGATAGAACATAGGATTCTGAAAAATGTCCAAGCTATGCACTTCAAACACACTTTTGTGAGTTACACTAAAGGCATGCCATTGTCTTTAAAGCATTTCATCATTCTGCAGCCACCTGATCCACTATGACAGTGGAGCTTCAAACAGTGTCCTTATGTCTGGAACTGTATTTGGCTACTGGTTTAGTTGTAGACTTTTGGTTTTAGTGTGTGTGTGTGTGTGTGTGTGTGTGTGTGTGTGTGTGTGTGTGTGTGTGACTTTCTTGTTTACTCTTCAGTTATTGTTGTTGTTTTGTTTTTAAAGTCAGGGTTTCTCTGTGTAGCCCTGGTTGTCCTGGAACTAGCGTGGTACCAGACTGGCCTTGAACTCATAGAGAGCCCTATCTTTGTTTCTCAAGTGCTGGGATTAAAAGTGTGCACCACCACCAGGCCTTTTTTATTTTTTAAGAGACGTAATTTTTATTTATAATTGAAGCAATGATTGGCCATTTTTTATTAATTTATTTTTACATTCCAATTCCAATTCGCCTTCCCTACTCTCCTCCTCCCACCCACCCCCCACCTCCCATCTGCTCCTTGGAGAGGGTAAGGCCTCCCCTACTAAGCCTACTAAGTCTGTCCTATCATCTTTGTGGGACTAAGGGACCTCTCTTCCCATCATACCTGTGTCTAGGCTGAGCAAGGTATATCCCCATTTAGAATGGGCTCCATGAAGTCAGTTTGTGCATTAGGGTTAGTTAGATCTTGTACCCACTGCCAGTGGCCTCATATATTGTTCCAGTCACATCATTGTCACCTATATTAAGGGAGTCTAGTTCAATCTTGTGCAGGTTCCCCATTTGTCAGACCTGATTCAGTGATGTCTCACTAGCTCAGGTCAGCTGATTCTTTGGGTTTCCCCATCATGGTCTTGATTCCTTTGTTCATATTATTGCTACTCCCTAACTTTCATTGTACTCCAGGAGCTTGGCCCATTGGTTAGTTGTGGATTTCTGCATCCACTTCCATCTGTTTCTAGAAGAGGGTTCTGCCTTCTCTGGGGTTGTGGATTGTAGGCTGGGTATCTTTTGCTTTATGTCTAGAATTGAGTTATGAGTGGGTACATACTATATTTGTCTTCCTGGGTCTGGGTTACTCAGGATGCTTTTTTTTCTAGCTCTGTCTGTCTAGCTCTAGCTCTGCCTGTAGGTTTTAGGATGTTATTGTGTCTTACCACTGAATAGTACTCCATTGTGTAAATGTACCATATTTTTTTTTTATCCATTCTTCAGTTGAGGGGCATCTACGTTCTTTCTGAGATCTGGCTATTATGAACAATGTTGCTATGAACATAGTTGAGCAAATGTCCTTGTGGTGTGAATGTGCCTCCTTTGGGTATAAGCCCAATAGTGCTATTGCAGGGCCTTGAAGTTGGTTGATCCCTAATTTTCTGAGAAATCACCACACTGATTTTCACAGTGGCTGTACAAGTTTGCACTCCCACCAGCAATGGAGGAGTATTCCCCTTTCTCCACATCCTCTCCAGCATAAGCTGTCATGGGTGTTTTTGGTCTTAGCCATTGTAATAAGTGCTAGATGGCATCTCAGAGTTGTTTTGATTTGCATTTCCCTGATGGCTCAGGATGTTGAGCATTTCCTTAAGCGTCTTTCCACCTTTTGAGATTGTTCTGTTGAGAATTCTGTTTAGATCTGTACTCCAGTTTTTAATTGGATTATTTGGTAGTTTGATGTCTAGTTTCTTGAGTTCTTTGTGTATTTTGGAAATCAGCCCTCTGCCAGATATGGGATTGGGGTTGGTGAAGATCTTTTCCCATTCTGTAGGGTCGGGCCTTTTTTTTTTTTTTTTTAATTAAAAAGTTGTTGCTGTATGTGTGTGAGTATGGGCACACACATGTCATTGTATATGTATGGAAGTTAGCAGACAACTTGCAGAAGTTAGTTCTCTCTATGTACAATGCAGCTTTATAGTAGATTGAAATCAGGCCATTATATCTGGTTTGGTGGCAAGCACCCTTACCCACCGATCCGTTTCACCAGCTCTCACCTTATTTATATTAGACAGAGTCTTGAACACACTGGTTTGGTTAGACCGATTGGCCAGAAGCCCCAGAATTCCTCTTGTCTCTACCTCCCCAGTGCAGCTCTCTTGCCCACTTCTGATGGGTAAAGTTTACCTGGCTTTCAGATGTATTTTGTTGTAACCTGCCTGATTTGTAAGCTCTTTACTCCCATTTCTAGTCTCCCTGGCATCCTGCTCCCTTTTCCACTGTCTTCTGTCACATGTCACTCTCAGCCTGTTCACCCTGAATGCAGAGGGGTGAACCCTGAATGCAGAGGGGTACCCTCTCTGCTTTCAATGATCCCTTCCTACCTAGGAATCTTGAGACTCAGGGATGTGGGTCTAAGGGCTGACTGCCAAGCAGGCACCTTGCTTTGGGAAAATGGGGATAGCATTTGGAGTTGAAAAGCTCCAGGTTCCAGGTCTATCTGCATGTGGGCTATTCAGGTCTTCGAAAAGCTAGTGTTGCAAAATGTTACTTTATAAATTGCCACAGGAAATAGAATCAGTCATCAAAACTCTCATAACACACACACACACACACACACACACACACACACACACACAAACCAAAACCCTGTGCCAGATAGTTTCAGTGCAGAATTCTACCAGAACTTCAAAGAACAGCTTATACCAGTACTCCTCAAATTGTTCCACACAACAGAAGCAGAGGGGTCATTGCCAAACTTTATGAGGCTACAATTATCTTGGTACCAAAGCTACACAAAGACAACTAAGAAAGAGAACTACAGACCAATCTCCCTCATGAGCATTGATGAAAAATACTAAATAAAATACGGTAAATGGAATCCAAGAACACATCAGAACAATCATTCAACCTGATCAAATAGTTTTCATCCCAGAAACAAAGGGATGGTTCAACATATGGAAGTCTGTCAGTGTAATCCACCATATAAACAAACTTAAAAAGAAAAACTCCATGATTATTTCACTAAATGCTGAAATAGTCTTGGACAAAATCTAACCCCCCTTCATGATAAAGGTCTTGGAGAGATAGGGATAACAGGAACATAACTAAACATAATAAAGGCAGTATACAGCAAGGCAACAGCCAACACCAAACTAAATGGAGAGAAATTCAATGTGATTCCTCTAAAATCAGGAACAAGACAAGCCTGTCCACTCTCTCCATATCTCTTAAATATTGTACTTGAAGATTTAGCTAGAGCAATAAGAAAACAAAAGGATATCAAGGGGATATAAATTGTAAAGGAAGAAGTCAAACTTTCACTATTTGCAGATGATATGATAGTTTACATAAGTGGCCTGAAAAACTCTACCTGAGAACTCCTTCAGCAAAGTGGCAGGATATAAGATTAACTCAAAAAAAAAAAAAAAAAAAAATCAGTAGTCTTACTATACACTGGCTGAGAAAGAAATCAGAGAAACATCACCCTTTAAAGACCTGTATGACAAGCACTTTAAGTATTTAAAGAAATAAATTAAAGAAGATACCAGAAAATGGAAAGAGCAAAGGATCACCAGACTACAATTCACAACCCCAGAGAAACTAAGAAACAAGGAGGACCCTAAGAGAGACATACATGGAACGCCTCTCTCCCCAGAAGGGGAAAGGGACAAGATCTCCTGAGTAAACTGGGAGCACAGGGAGGGGAAAGGGGGAGATAGGAGAAAGAAGAGGGGAGAGGAGAACATGAGGAATCAGGAAGGTTGCATTGGAGCAAAAACAGAGAAGGAGAGCAAGAAAAGAGATACCTTAATAGAGGGAGCCATTATGGGCTTAAGGAGAAATCTGGCACCAGGGAAGTCTGCAAGGATCCACAAGGATGACCCCAACTAAGAATCTATGCAATAGAGGAGAGGCTATTTTAAATGCCCTTCCCCTAGAATGAGATTGATGACTACCTTAAATGACATCCTATAGCCTTCGTCTAGTAGCTGATGGAAGCAGAAACAGAGATTCACAGCTAAGCACTGATCTGATTTCTTGGAATCCAGTGGTAGAGAGGGAGAAGGGATGAGCAAAGGAGTCAAGACCATGCTGGAGAAACCCACAGAAACAGCTGACCCAAGCAAGTGGGAGCTCAGGGACCCCAGTCTGACAGTTGGGGAACCAGCATAAGATTGAAACAGGCCAACTGAATGTAAGTGTTCGGGGGGGGGGGGCAGTCTTTGAGGCCTCTGAAAGTGGAACCAGTGCATCCCTAGTGCATGAATGAGATTTTGGGCCCATTCCCATGGAAGGATACTTTCGCAGCCTAAATACAGGGTGAGGGCCTAGGTCCTGCCCCAAATGATGCGACAGACTTTGATGACCTTCCATGGGAGGTCTCACCTTCCCTGGGGAGTGGACAGGAGTGCAGTGTGCAGGGGGTGTTGGTGGGGTGAATGGGAGGTCAGAAGAAAGAGGGAACTGGGATTGATATGTAAAATAATGTTGTTTTTAATTTAAATAGAAATCAGTTTTAAAAGATTTTTAAAAAATGATTTGCCACAGGAGTGCTATAGACTTTGTCAGTGTACACTTTGCCTTAAAAGCAAAACAAACAAACAAAAGCAAGAACACCACTTCTTCCAACATAAAACCCTAACATTTCCACAAATCATCAAGAGTGGGTGGCGTTTTTGTTACTGAGTATGAACAAAAGTGGGCAGAAGCAAGATGAAAAATGCATGAGAATGTCAGTGCCTGCTGCTTTTGTCTGGTTCTCAGCCCAAGGACCCTGGATACCCCAACCCCCAAGTCTAGAATAAAGTACTCGTCTCAGTGTTGCTTTAACTGCATGAAAATGTTCTTGGTAAACAGTACATAACACTTGTAAATTTTTTCTTTAAAAGCCCACTCATCATCTACCCAGCACATAGAGGCAGCAGGCTTCCTTCCCTATCAGGCTTGGATGAGAGCCCTTCTCCCTGATGTCTCAGAACACACCTGATTCTGGTGCTGCAGCAGCCTGCTGGGACTTGAGGCACAGAGCTGAGGAACGGCAGTGGAATGACGGTATCTAAATTCACTACCTACTGAAGATGTGTAACAGTCTCAGGGAGTGGTGTTCAGTGTGGGCATTCTCTTAAAGTCAATGAACATTGTAGGTTCATTATTATAAAGTAAGCAGTTTCTGGGCTAGAGAGATAGCTCAGAGTGAGAACGAAAACTGTTGGTGTAGAGGCCCAGTGTTTGGTTCCTAGCCCCCACATCAGGTGGCTCACAACCACCTGTAACTTGAGCTCCAGAAAATCCAATGCCTTTGGCATCTGCAGGTATCTGCACTCAAGTACACAAACATGCACATATATGCATAGTTAAAAATAAAATCTTTTTAAAAATTGAGCAATTAAAACTTTTGTATAAACACGAAGCCTAGCTATGATGGATTAGTCACATTCTAAGCTATTTGGCTTCTATCTTTGAATGTACAATTTTCCATTTTGTTCATAATGACCTTTAAGCACTTAGCTCTCTGCATAGAATCTAGGTTTTATGTTCTCTCGGGTTTCTCTGGACCTTCTTTGGAGGAATCCTGAAAAAGTGGGATGAGGGTAGTCAGATGGGGATCCCTAGTGAGTGTCTGCTTGTTTCTGATGGTCACACCTTTTGTGCCCATGTCTTTAATGCATGCGTATATAGTTCTCAGCAATGTATTCAGGGTTCTTGGGGTATGGATTCATTCTTCCTTCAGCTATTTCCCCGTAGCTGAAAAGTGTTGTTGGATGGGAAGGCTTTTGGAAACTTGTCTGGGTAAGAATTTGGAATGACTGAGTGTGATTTGCAGGTATTCCTTTGGAGGTTCTGGTTCAACTCTGACCACTCTCCATTGCCACAGTAGAATAAAGGTGAGGCCCCTTAGGAAGAAAGCATGGGGCTACCAAGGCTGTCACAGTGTAGTAGTTACCAATTCCACTTGAACAGGTCAAGGACTCCAAAGCCCCAGACCTGCTCTGCCATCTCTGAGTCCCTAAGTTCGTGGGCACAAACTCCAGTTTCCTTAGCTGGGAGTGAACTATTATGGTACTAGTGACTAAGGCAGAAGATTATCAGAGTCATCACACCAATGGAAATATGAAGAAAGCTTACCTGCCACAGTGTTAGGGCCAAGCTGTTGGCAAAACAATAAAGAAGGGAGAGTGTAAAGACCTTAAATAGAAAAGAAGTGAAGTCTTTTTTAATGTTAAGCTTTTATTTGCTCTGACGGAGTAAAACATATTTCATTTTTTTAACGTTGTTAAATGAAGTAAATATACCAATTGTTGTCTTGAATGAATAAAAGTCAGTGTCCCATGGATGCCCTACTGTGCTTCAGAGAGGAGACACATGCACACTTACCATACGTTCATAGCAGGCTAGCGAGATGGCTTAGTGGGTTTGGCATCAGGACTCACCTGGTGGGATGAGAGAAATGACTCCCACAGGTTGTCCTCTGACATCTACATGTGTCCCTGGCATGCACTCATCCATGCACGTGTGTGTGTGTGTGTGTGTGTGCGTGTGTGCACGCACACACATACACACTGTAAAAATAAGTCAGTGCCTATCCTGGGCATCTGATGGAGGCACTCGTATTTTGTGGTTGCTGCAAGTGCCTAAAGTAGGACTTGCAGCAGTACAAGTAATGCGTAGGAAAGAAGAAAGGAAATTCAGGGCAAAGGACTTGGCTCTCATGTGCTAGCCCCACCATAGATGTTGGCTGTGTTCTGTTCACAGTCTTCACAGAAGACCCATGCAGAAGGCATTGTTGTTCCCATTTCATAGAAAAATTAACTAGTCCTTCAAAGGTTAAAAGATTTGTATGAGTTGTTAATCGAAGCTTCTCGAATTCCGTAAGTCTGTGAGTCATCTGGAGATACTGTTGAAAAATACCGATTCAGGAAACCTGGGACAGTGACTGGAGCTCTGTGATTCTCACATCCTAGGTAGAACCCAATGTGAACCTGGGTTCAGGGAGAGGGACAACAGTGGTAGTCATATGGCAGAGGGGTCCATTAGATAGAAAGCAATGGTGTGCTGTGAAGACAACTAGTGTTTAACTGACGATATAAGTGGATAGTAGAGTTTTTCATTACTTCATTTATGGATTAGTGTGTTTAGCTTAAGACTACTCCTACGGAATTTCCCTCAATTATTGCTGTGTGTAATTGTGATTTTCACCAAAACCTGATATGCATGGGATTCTGTACAATTATGATTTCTGCCCCCTTTACAGTAGTGTGTGTTTGCGCACACAAAGTTGAAAAGCGCATCAGCGTGCTCACTAATTATCTGCAATGGTCCACACGCACACCCCTTTGGATGGCCCTGAATATAGCATGCTTAGGCTTACGTTGTAATTTAGTGGTTTTTTTTTTTTTTTTTTGCCTTTTTGCTCTTTGTTCCTTTCACACTGCTCATGATCCTGGTCAGGTAGCCTCTTGGAATAAGGTGGTTGTCCAGAGAGTAAGCACACACCAGCGAATCCAGTCCACTTCTGGTTCAGTATGTTCTGGAAATATGTGTTCATTCATGGTCAAATGGTCAACATTTATACAGTATGGCCTTGCACTGAGTGCCTGCTATGTGCTACGCATCTCAGGGTCCGGTGTTTCCCCCAGACCTCACTTCCTCTTAAAGAGAACAGAAAATAAAATTCACAGAGGGTTGTTGTTGTTGTTGTTGTTGTACTTTTTATCTGTGTGTGTGCTTCTGTGTGGAGGCCAGAAGTCACCATCAGGTATTTTCCTCAGTCAGTTGATGTCACTGTCATTTTTATTTTTATTCTTTCGAGAATTTCATGCACATATACAGTGTATTTTGATTATATCTATCCCCACTTCCCTAGTATGTACTTCTTCCAACTTGATAATCTTACAAAAAAAAAAAAAAAGACCCCAATGAATCAAATTAGTTCTACCCACGTGCACACCAAGTATGTGGGGCTATGTGATGGAGCATGGACAACCTCTACCAGTGGCACGCCCCGAAGAAAATGCCTCTTTCTCCCCTAGCAGCCATCAGTTGCCAGTAGCTCCTCAGCTCTCAGCTAGCAATGGGGCTTTGAGCCTGTCCCTGCCTCCTGCTAGGATTATGAGTGGCTTGATTTTGTACAGCTCCTGTGCAGGTAACGACAGCTGCTAGATGTTCATGAGTGCAGTGACCATGCCGTGTCCTGAAAACAGCATTTCACAGTGCTCCTCCCCACCCTCCTTTTTATACCCACTTTCTCCCTCCTCTTCCTTGACACTTCCTGAGCCTTGGCAGAGTGATTGCCTTAGTTTTTGAGAGACTCTCTTGTTGAATGTGGAGCACACTGATTTCCTAGGTTGTCTGACCAGTCAGTTTCAGGGATTCATCGGCTCCATAACACCCGAACTCCCAGTGAAGTGGTTACAAGCAGGAGCCACTGCACTTGGCTGTTTGCAGAGTGCTGGGGATCCGAACTCAGGTCTTCTTGCTTGTACTAGAAGCATTCACCCACTGAGCCAACTCTGCAGCCCCACAAACATGTTAAGAAAGAATCCCAGTGGTTAAGTGCTAAGAGGAGGAGGAGAAGGAGGAGGCGGCGTGCAATAGAAAACAAGGGCTGGGGGAAACTCTGAGCTGGACAGCGTCAAGGAAGGGCTCTCATAAGGTGCGCTTTGCTCACACCTGGCTGGGGAAATGGAGCCAGCTCTCCCAGGAACCTATTACAGTTAAGTGCCAAGCAGTAAAAAGGAGGGAAAGAATTTGATAAAGTCACAGACATTGTGGTTGAGCAAGGGCCTTGATGGCATTTCTGGAAAAAAAAAAAAAAAAAAAAAGCCTATATGTTTGTACTCTAGGAAAGAATTTCAAGTTAATTTGTTTCAATTTGTTTTCCTTTTCTTTTGTCTGTTTCTCTGGGCCTTTTGCATTTGAAGTAATTCCTCCCCTGCCTCCTTCCTTCCTTCCTTCCTTCCTTCCTTCCTTCCTTCCTTTCTTCATTTTATTTTTCTGGTGCTTGCAAGCCGTGTCCATTCCATTTTGTAAACTGTAAATTTTTGATTGAACTGTGACAATTCCAAAAACTAAGGTACTTTGGTTTCCAGAGCTGAAGTCACTTTATCACTCTATAGTTTCCCTGCCCCATGGACCCCTGGCGATGGCAAGCTACACAGAGATTTTGTTGCTCACCTGACTTTTCTTTTGAATGCACTCAATGGGTACTCCTTGCAGGGCCATGCACCAAAAGAGAAAACTTTTCAATCTCCTCCTGCCTCCCTCCACCTTTCAGCCTGTTTTAGATACTTTGTCCTTGCTGTGAGGAGACAGCATGACCCAGGCAACTTATAAAAGAGCTTAGGGGGACCTGTTTGAAGTTTCAGAGGGTTAGTCCATGTTCATTGTGGGATCAGGGCAGCAGACATGGAGTGGGAGCAGAGGCTGAGAGTTGGAGAAGGGTGGGAAGGAGGGAGGAAGGGGGGAAAAGAGAAAAAAAATGTGCTGTGCTGACTAGCTGGGAATAGTGTGGGCCCACCCCCAATGAGGCGCCTCCCCCAACAAGGCCACACCTCTAGTCCTTTCCAAGCAATTCCACCAACTGTGGACCAAGCATTCGAATGAATGACCCTATGGGGAAGGAACATTTTCACTTAAATCATCACACTTTATCCCCAGCCCCCATAGGCTTGTGACCAAATCATAATGCAAAATGCATTTTCGTCTAACTGAAAAAGTCCCCATAGTCTTTCACAGTTACATAAAAGTCCTAAGTCCCAGTCCTGAGAATTAAGGCAATCTCTGAGTTGTAACCCCCTTTAATGTCAAAAGTAAAAACCAAATTACATACTTCTAACATACAATGACACAGATGTACATTACCATCCCAAAAGGAGGAAAGGGGACATAGTAAGGAAATATTGGACCAAAGCAAGACTAAAACCCAGCAGGGCAAACTCTGAACCCTGTAGTTTTATGTCTGGTGTCAAAGGCACACTTGGCTCTCAGGCTGGTTCTGGTCCTGTCTGCAGTTCTCCTTGGTAGATTCCATAGCTCTGACATCTTCACCATCC